AATTGCAAATTGCAAATTACAAACAATTTCACATACCAGCGTTTTCAGTTGTTGTTTTTCTGTTGTTTTCTTTTCCAAGTTGCAAGTTAAAATTTAATTTTCTGCTAACTTCTTTTTAACCACGTTTACTGGGTCTCATTATCATCATCATCATCATCATGCTCCTAATGCTGATCGCTCTCTAGCTCTCGCTCGCTCTACACCTGCCTTTAATAACGATATAAAATAGCCTCTAAATACTAAAAAATAATTTCTTTGCTGCTCTCTAAACTTTGCTCTTTTCTTCGCAGTCGTTTTCAACGCGCACGCTTCAACCTCACGTAATCTTGTAATCTTTTGTCTTCTTCTTTAAAAAAAAAATGCTTCATCGTTTATAATTATTATTATTATTATTTTTAATATTATTTCTTAATAGTGTTTGGTAAACCCCCCTCATTTATTATTTTTTTTAATATTTATTTCCTTAAACAGAGCAATTAATAGCCAATAGTTAGTTAGTTAACTCAACCACTCTGCTCTCACTCACTCGCACTCCCTCGCTCTCTCTTCTCTCTCTCTCTCTCTCTCGCTACCTTTTGCTACTCTCTTTTCTCTTCAGCATTTGGAATTCTATGCAAAATAAAAACAATGCAAGTGTTCAAAAACATTGCCATGTTTTTTCTAGTTTACATTTTTGGAATTTTTTATAAAAATTCGTTTTACGCTTTTTTTTTTTGTTTCGATTTTTCTTTTGTTTTTCATCTCATATATATAATTATATATATAGTTAAATAAAATGCTTGGACATCGCCGCCAAACATGCATAGGTCATAGGTCATAGGGTTCGCTATATATAGTAGTATATAAGTATATATGCTCTTTGTATTGACAACTTTGGACATTTTTCCTATGCGCTTGCGCAAACTTTCAAGACGTCACACAAAAAAAAATTATATATATTTTTATATATATATGTATGTATGCATACTCAAAAAAAAAAAAATAAAAAAAAAAAGATTACATTCTCAATTATAACAAAACAAGTTTCCATTATTACGCATTTTTCAACATATACACATACATATGCATATATAAATATTTATAAATATTAAATGTTATATGCCTAGAAAAACTCCTTTTATATACACTTGATAATAAACCCCATCTTCATCATCTTCTTCTTCGTCGTCGTCAAGCTACACAAAAGGTTCAGTTATATAGTCTGTAAATGTATGCTTCTTCTTCTAGTTTTTATTTAATAGGAAATAGCACAATTTGAACAAGTTCTCACTTTGTTAATTCCTTAATGGGTCTGGTGGATCTGGGTCTGAGTCTGAGTTTTGGTCTTTATCTGGATCTGTCATTTCGGCATATAAAAATAAAAGGGCTGCTCTCACTATATAGAATATATATATATATATATTTTTTCACCTGTGCACTTATGTATCCGACTTCACTGTGGCTTCAAAACAGTGTTGGTAAATTGCGAAATCGACTATGCTTTGGTCTAAACTGTACTCCCGCCGCTCTCCCTCTTTTAACTTTGCTCTCTTCTTTGATATGCCTCTCAGTTGTAGTTGTAGTTGTAGTTGTTGTTGATTTTGTTGTAGTTGTTTTTGCAGTTGTTTTTGCTTTTGAGTTAAATGTTGCATGAACTCTTCAGGTTTCGCAATGCTTAAAAACTATCATAAATTGGATTTTATGATTATTTTCATTCAATATTTTGTTTTTAGTTTTTCTTTTCTGATTTTGCTTAGCTCACACTTTACATATTCGTTAGGTTGCTCTTTTGCTTAGCTTTAAGTTTTATTTTAACATTTTATTTCTTTTACATTTATAATTTGTTTTTTTGTATTTTTTTTTTTTTTTTTTTTTTCGTTTTTGTTTTTCCATATAAGATAATGCACTTACATTGAGGTATTTTAATTACTTTTCAATCTTCATCAATAGATCTTTTTTCGCATGTTTCTTTCCTGTTAATATTATGTTTATGCCGAAAAAATATCTGTCCTAAACTGTCCTAAAACTGCCCTAAAATGCTTGTATATGCTCTTCTCTGCTGTTGATCAATGTTTGTGTTAGTCAATTTTCGAATTTGATTTGAGTTTCTTTCGTTTTTCTTGTTTACGCGAAACAACAACTTTGAATTTTCATTCTTTTTTTTTTTTTTTTTGTTTTTAGTGTTCTGGCCGAAATGTTGATTTTTGTTGTTCTATTTCGTTTTTAAATGCACGAATATAACAGTTTAAAATGCAAGTGTTATATAGGCAAAATTAACGCAAAACCCGAGCTGTTAACTTTCTATTGTAATCTAAATATATATATTTCACATATACATATGTATATATGTACATACATACATATATATATTTATGTATATATAACCAACTTAATGCAGTAAGAAAACAAACAAAAGAGGAAATTATGTACTAATATATATAAATATATATGTGCGTGTGTGTGTGTAAATATGTATTCATGTTATGTATTTATGTATGCTTGTATGTATGTATGTAATGTTAACAAAACAAAAAAAGTATGTAAAGACAAAAAAAAAAAAATTAATGTAATAATAAATCGTCACGTTATATTCTATTTATGTATATTTCAACAAAATTGGGCTATTGTCTTGGTTCTTGGGTATGTTTGATTGTTTGTTGCTCCGATTCAGTTACATCAGTTACGATTTTAGCAGCTATGGAAAAAAAACTGTTATACACTATAAATATATATATAGTTTATGATCTATAATAGATCTTATGCATGTATGTGTTTGACGTGTTTTCACTTTTATTTTAGGTAATTTAAATAAAGTATTTTTAAAAGAATGACAAGTTTGTTACATGTACATTTGAGTATGTACGAAACAACATTTAAACTATGAAAAATCTATATAACCATGGGCCCGCCTTTCGGCCGATCTCATGTTGATCATGAAATATATATGATGATCCGCAGGGATAGGCCTGAAAGGGGCCGCATATTGAAAGCTATGTGTAATATAGTATAGGTCTTGTGTGTTTATGTGTGTGTGTGTGTGTGTGTGTGTGTTGTGATTTATATAACAGCTTGTTTTGTTCCAATTTTAAATTTCTTTTTTTTTTTTTTTTTTTGCTTCAATATAACACTTTTTGTAACACTTGTTGCTCGTTTTTTTCGTTATATAAAAATTAACATTTCAGCACCGTTATTTTTGTTTTTGTTTCAAGGCAAACAGATTACAATGCTCTCTCACTTTCTCTCTAAATAACTCTGGCTCGCTCGCGCTCTCGCTCCGACTCTCCTCTCCTCTCTCTTCTCTCTCCCTCTCTAGCTTAGTTCGCTCAAACAATATTAACAATTCAGTTTTTTTTTTTTTGTTATATACGCATTCTCGAAATCTCAAATTCTCAACTCTCGAAAACTATTATACAGCTGTACACTAACATTGCTTGCTTGGCATCAGGTGAGAGACACAACTTAAATAATAAACTATATAATTCGTATGCCTATATAATTATGTGTGTATGTGTGTGTGTGTGTACTGTTATATGTTTCTGTTATGTTATACTATATAGTTGTCATACATGTGCTGCGCGACTCAACTCTAACTGTCGACTTGGCGCGTATAAGAGTTGGTTGCGCTGTCTGCTGGCTGATAAATATAAGAGTACAGACAAAATACATATATACGATAAGTTATATACATATGTATTGCATGTAGACATTTATGCTCCTATGGAAAACTCTTCTATGGACTCTCGCATTGAACACTTGTGTGTTGTATTTTTGTGGTATTTACGCTTCTCGCTTCAAAGATTTCTCCTTTTTTTTTTTTTATTTTACATGTTTTTGATTTTAGTTGGTTTTCACTTGTTTTGTTTTGGTTTAGTTTAAAGGGGTTTTACAGTTTAGTCGTAGTTTTCTTCTACTCTTTTTTTTTTTTTGTTGATATTTTTTCTTGCATTTTTTTCGTTTTGCTTTGAGGTGGGCTAAAGTTTACACCTGCTTGCAATTTGGGTTTTCTTCAATTAGGAAATACAAAAAATAATATTAGTAATTATAATAATTAACATACAGTTTTTTCCTGTTCTGTTTTTTATGCCGCTGTCGTCATCTGATTTGTGTTCTTCTTGCATACAATTAATAACTGTTACAAATTTAAAATTTTCAAATGCAAATACGCTTAAAAAAATGTAAATAAAAAAAATTATATATATATATATTAATACATATATATATATATATAAAACAATCATAAAACACACACACAAACCAATTGATTGTTTGGTTTTTGTTTTTTTTTTTCTTTCTTGTGTTCACTTAATTTACGCTTACTAAAGTTGATTAAAAAAAAAAAAAAAATAATTCATTAAAAAGTTGTAATTTTATGTTTTCTATATATTAAAAAAAAAAACGAATTTGCTGCTGTTGCGATTTTTTGAAATTGTTTCTTTTTTTTTTTTTGTTAATTTTTTTCTCGCTCTTGTTTTTGTTTTTTTTTTTTTTTTTGCATTTCCTTTTGTTTTTACTTGTAAATTTCTTTTCATGTTGCAAAAATGTTGAATAATTGTTTTTTGCTGCGGGGGCTGTTGCAGTTCTGTGTTTAAGCCTGGTTAAATGTAGCTTTTCCTTTGCATCAGGCTTAATGCAAGTTTTCTTTAAATGATAGCCTGTGTGTGTGTGTCTGTGTGTGTCTGTGTGTGTGTGTGTGTGTGGTTATTTAGTAAAATTAAAATTATAACAAAGGTTAGGCAGCGCGCAGTCACATCACGAGAAACAACAACAATACAATGCATTGCCGTATAACAGTTTGGCCCATTTATTGAAACGGCGCCGAGTTTTATTATTAATATGGTTTTTTTTTATAAGCAAGCATTTCATTGTTGTACACAAAATCTGTTAGCTCTCCCCTTTGGCCGTCTGCAACTAACTGCAAGAGAGGGAAAGAGCGAGTTCTCAGCCGCATCTGCCTTGTTGTTGCCGGTTGCTTTTACTGCTGCTGCTGCTGTTGTTTTTGTTGCAGTTGTTGCAGTTGTTGCTGTTGTTGCGGTCGCGATTTGCTGTTACTGTTGTTGTTGCTGTTATATTCTGTTATATTTTTTGAATGATTTTGAATTTACTTTGCTACTGCCCTTGCCAGTAGTCGAGGGGCAGGCATTTAGCGCGTTTACGAGTTTGTCGAAGTTGAGGGACGAGAGTTCATCTTCTTCTTCTTCTTCCTTTTCTTGTTGTTGTTGTTGCTGCTGCCTGATTATATAAAGCGGAATAAAAGTTTATGGAAAACTGCCACGGCAAATCCAAATGTTGTTGTTATTGTTGTTGTTGCTATTGCTATTAATGTATTATTGGTGTTGTTATTCAAGTTGTTTGCTGTTCTATTTGGGTTGCCCCCCCCCCCATCTGGCCCTTCCCTATCCCCATGCATGCAGCTTACTGCTGGGAGCTCGCCAGCTGCTGCTGCTGCTGTTGCTGCTGTTGCTGCTGCTGCTGTTGGGTGGCGGCCGATGCGTTGCCGGGCGGCGGCGACGGCTGCTGCTGCTGCAATTGATGTGAGGACGCTGTCGACGACGCCTGCTGCTGGTGATGCGCAGGTGGCGCCGACGACGACGACGCCGACGATTGATGATGCGATTGCGGCGGCAGCGGCTGCTGCTGCTGCGACGGCGACTGTTGCTGCTGTTGTTGAGTCCCACTTGGCGCAGCGCCGGCTAGGTTCTGCTGTTGTTGCTGTTGTTGTTGTTGTTGTTGTTGTTGTTGCTGTTGTTGCAATTGTTGTTCTTTGGCAGCTTTCTGTTTTTTGGTCACTGGTGGCGGATTTGTCGATAGCATCATGGCGCGAATTCGTCGCTGTGCGGACTACAAAAGAGTTAAAGCAAAGAGTTAGCATTAGTTTACGAACAATATATGGAACAGTTGACGGAACAGTTCGCCGGGCCACCTACCTGAACGCTGTAGAATGGCCCAATGATGTGTACAGGTGTTTCCTCATCGCCGCCTGAAGGTGGCGCCAGCGCATGTTCTGGCAGCTTAATGACGCTACCCGTCACACGTTGCAGCTCACGCACGTTCTGTCCGCCCTTGCCAATGATGCGTCCGACCTGCGAAATACAATTACCTTTAATAACAGTACAGAAAGAAAACAAATAAAAACAAAACACAAATTTGTCGATATACGATTCACGACACGTTAATATAACAATCCAAATCTTTGAAATTGGCATTCAGCAAATATTGTTAAATAGAACTATTTATATTATTTATAGTTTGGGTCTGGGACAGCCTCAAAAGTTGTTATATTTGGAACCAGTTTGCTTCTGCGGGTTTGAACCAGTTCGGCCGAAAATCAGACTGCAGCCTTAACATATGTATATAGTACACCTGTACATCTGTATACACACCTGAGAACTGGCGACAAGTAGCTCAACGGTAAGGCGGACATCATCGGTGCCGCACATGAAGCCCTCCTCGCGCATCTTTTCAAATATCATGTACTGCGCCTTCCACTGACCCTCCGGTGTGCCAACAATCGTGACCTTGCGCTCCGTTTGTTGGTCCAGCGGCTTGTCGGCGTCGAGGGGCGCAATTTTGAGGGATGCGCTTGAGAAGCGCATTATGCTGCGTATGTGCGATCCCTTGGTGCCAATGATTGCCCCAACGGCATTATTCGGTATATACAGATATGTCGTCTCCTGCATATCGTTGGGGAAGGCCGGTGGCACCACGCTGGCCGGTGTCTTGGACATGGCAAAGCTTTGACACGAGGGGAACGGCATGCTCGTGTTGAAGACCATGCCGTTGCCCGGTGTCGACATCATTGCCATGGGATGCAGACCGGGGAACATAAGGCTCTGAGGCGCCATCGCCTGCAGATCGTTCTCATAGCTTTGGCGCAGCTTGGTACTGATTTGGTTTTCCGCACGTGACATATTCTCAATCAAGCCCTTCACCGTTATGATCCGCTCCAAATTGAAGCTATTAATGTCATTAATTGAGCTAACGGTTATCTTCGTGTCCGTATCCTGCATAATGCGTTTAATAGTGTTACCGCTCTTGCCAATAATGCGACCAATTAAATTATTATGGGCGAGTATCTTCAGGCAGATTTCACTAGAATCGGCGAAGGGCAGAAGAGGTGGGCATCATGTTAATATCGACCGGAATAGATAAATGAACTGCTAGCTATCTCTACTTACCCCTTATTCGTGGACAGTGCCTCCTGTTGCATAACCTCCAATATGCGCT